TAAGATTTTTCTTATTGATCTATCTTATATATTTAAGCCATGCAATCACTATGAGTGACACATTTTGTTTGAATTGAACGTATCTTCCACTAGGAAATGTCGAAATGTATTTTGAATTGTAACAAGATATGATTGGATACTAAAGATAGCCTTAAGAGGTTTGTTAATTTTATTATTATATGTTAACAAATATATTATTCTAATATTGCAGCTAATTAACTATGCCTAGTTCTCATCTTGAATTGTTTTTGAATTTCAAGCGTCCATTAATTATAATAATTTGTTTAATCCTTAACATTCTAATTTTATATCTTATTATATAAATTTATTATATAGGATTATTTAAAATATTATAAAAAATATTCCCAGTCAACACCAAAAAAAGTAACATAACAACGTTATAATTTCACATTCAACAATAACTGTTACGTGACATTGTATGTGTTATATTATTATACCTGTTATTATTGAGTCCTGAGTGTGTTTGATGTTACAATACATCACTTTTGGTTAGTGCCAACTGGATTATTGTTATCATTTTACTGAATATATTTAAAATTTAATAAATCAAGATATACTTTGTTGAATTTTCTGCGAGTTTGTTTGCGATATCTTGAATTTCTTTCAGGAGAATCGTAAAATAAGTAATAGAGCAAGGCGCGCGTGATTTTGCAATGTTTCAGCGGTAATTTCGTAATACCTATTGCGAAAGAAGGATTCAGCGTGAAAAGTCGTGCGTGGAAGTACAATATATCTGACCGCTTGCAGGGTAATTTATCCACGCCTTTGCTGATAAAACATTGCGCAATGAGCAGTGCTCTAGCACCGGATAAAACGGTGAATCAGATAAAGGCGGGGTGCTCTTCCACGAGGAGCATCTATAAATCAGGTGAATGTCTGTGCCCAGTTGGGCATGAGGGCCAGATGAACTGAACGCGCGGGTTTATTAATTAGTCCCGCGGATAAAGCCGTGTAACAAGGTGCGTCTTACGATCTTTTACGCGTACGCATTGTCCCGATCGCGCGCCGTGTCAGTTATACCGATTGCCTTGATACGGCGACCGGAAATGTCGGCGGTAATGTGCAACGCCGTGTGTTTCGTATTTCATTTCTTACCGCAGCCGCAACAACCGCGAGCCGTAACAGAGCGCGATATATCCGGGACCGCGAATTGTTGCGTTTTCAATGCGCCTCTGTAGGAAGCGAGATGCTGCACTTGTTATCTCGCGTCATCCCCGCGTGCGACGGAATATTCATGGGAAATCGCGATTGAGCTCTATTTTCATTTCGCGCGCATACGATTGGCTTAGTAGAGCCTGCAAGGGAATGCACGAGAGATTCGTATCAATGCAGATTAGATGCTTTTCGTTTTTTTTTCCTCCCATATATTCCACAAACTCTGTTTTGATTTACGATTGCATAATAAGTTCGACGAATCTAATCAATACACCATTTATAAAATCGAAAAAAATGTATTTGAAAAATTTGCATATGTGAATATTATTAAACACTATTACTAATTTAAAACAATTAAAATTTTTTTTATAATTTTTATAATTTTTATAATTCTCAAGTTAAGACAACCTCTCCTTCAGATAACGGTATATGTCGGGCACCTTCGTATCGTGAAAACTGCGCTGATTCTCATGTCAACGACATTTAATTCCTCGCGTGTAATACCAAATTATATATAACGGTTTACTTGGCGAGAGCCTGGTGGTCCGAATGATTAAAAACTTGCGTGATTAAAAATGGATGAATGAACTCTCTTTCTCCATTTTTCTTTGTCGAAAGAATTGTTCTGAGAACTCTAGGGAGAAAAGGGAAAAAGAGAATTATTGCACCTGCAAATCGATGAATCTCTTGTCGACGTATTTATTGTGACGGAGTGCAGAACATGACAGGAAAACGTGAATCGATATATTTATTTCTGCGTGATTCTATTTGAACGACTTTTAAATTAGTCTCTTACCTTCGTAACACGCCACCGAGAAGACTCGCGTTCAAACATTCTGGTGGCGACAGTCGTCTTTGTACCTCTGCTACCGTAACTTTGTACTTGCTGGTGCTGCTTAGTAACGATAATCGTCCTGGAACCGAACAGAATACGTCCGATGGTTGCGCGTTTCCGGTCAACATAGCCTTCTCACTCCTGTCCGAAGGTTTCATATCTGCAAAATTAAAAAAATGTGACCGTTAGAGTGATCTTAAGTCTTTAGAGAAATCTCAAGCCTTACACTAAGGCCCCTATTCTCTAACTCTTAACAGGTTTTATACAGGTATACATAGTAAAAAAGCTGCGCAACGACAATATAATGATATTGTTACTATCATAAAGAGTTAGAGAATAGGGACCTAAGATTTATTTGGCATATATCTATTTCAGAAATATTATAAAGTAAACAGCGTTCGTAGAAAATGTGAAGAAATAAAAATGAAATAACATAATTAATCATAATGAAAAAAACTCTCAAAATTTTTAAAATAACAAAAGCACACATGTTAGAAATCAACGCAAAAAATGATATATATATTAGGTAATTTATTATAATTTTGACAATTAAGATAAAATAAAGAACTGTCTGCACAAACAAGAGCAATACGTTGAAATCTTAAAACGTCAATAAACAGTAGATGAAATATGTATAAAATATTTAATTCTATTAATATAAGAATATTAAGATGAGGACATCCATTTAGTATTATTTCATTTTAGGAATACTATAAAATAGATTATCTAGGTAAATAAAGAAATAAATCAATAATTAAAAAAAATAATAATTAAAAAATCTTATTTTCAATTAAAGGATCTTATTAGTAGTGTTTAATAATATGCAAATTCACATATGCAAATTTTTCAAAATTTTTTTCCATTTTATAAATGATTGATGTTGATTTGATTCATTGAACTTATTACGCAATCGTAAATCGAAACAGAGATATTGGTATTTCAAACTAGATTGATCATTAATTTTAATGATGATGATGATAAGCATTTTAAAAATCAGCAAAAAACTAAAAATAAAAATAAAATAAAATAAGAAGCTATCTATAAATAAAAACAATACATTAATAAAATCTTAAAATAGCAAATATGAAATATTTAATGGATATAATTGCCTAAAAAAGAATAGTTGCTAAAGGAAGATAAAATATCGTTAAGCTATTCTTCTCATGTACTACTTAATTATGTTATTTAACAGAACTTTGGTATAGGTTATTCTAATCGAGTCATGTTGACATATTGCGTGCGAATGAATCGCAAGGTCGCTAGAATATCTCGGCAAGTGAATGAATACCTGGCATTATTCATGATCAATACACATCGATAAATCTTCAATTTGCACACCCGGTCCGACTGTTCTGGATTCCTCCCGTCACATTATCGATCGGTGTAATGGTAACGATTTAGTAGTTCTAATAAGCCGAAAGATTTCCAAGAATTATCGAGCTAGTTCAATTTTTTTTATCTAATGAGCATCTAAACGAGTTTTATTAATCGAGTTTGTTATACTCTAGAAATGAGAAATGAATTCCAATTAGATGATCGGTATATATCGCATATCTTGCGATATTTTTCATGATTTACTCTGATTTTCGCCGTTTTCTCGACAGAACGATAATAATCAGTTTCTTCGTTCATCCAGCGACGGAATGCAATAATCCAGTTAAGACTGCCGTATAGTCCATTCTCGTAGGTCAAAGTGAGAGATTCGCGACTCGGTGAAGCAAGAAATACCAGAACCAAAGATCCCGATCCGAAATTATGTTATACAATCTCCCTCCTTTCCTCCTCCTCCTCCTCCTCCCCCTCCTCCTCTCCTCCTCCTTCTCCTCCTCCCCCTCCCCCCCCTCTCTCTCTCTCTCTCTCTCTCTCTCTCTCTCTCTCTTTCTCTCTCTCTCTCTGTATGTATTTACGTACAGTTGTGTGTACTTGTATTTGCATGCGTAACCGTGATCAGGGCAATATCTTCGGCGAATATTTTAAATTCGTCCGTACCGTTCCTGTTTTAGCTCCTATGCATCGAACAGCCCCGCATTATTGCATCCTTGCCCTGGAATGCTTAATATCGTGCCTTGGGGCCCCGGACAAAGCGCGTTATTACATGGCAAAGAGATGGTCAACTTATAACTCAACGGAGTTCTTCATCTTCGCCGACGCACAAGGGATGTATCTTGCGACCAAGTTTCACATCCCGAAATCGCTAAACGAGAGACATTTCACAGACGAAAGTCTGACTTAATCTTTTAATAATTAAGAAAAATGTAATTCCTCGTGATATAAGAACTTCTCTGTTTAAAGGAAAGTTCGCTACTAAATGTACAGGGAACGTAATATGGTATATAATTTAAATGACATAATAAAAAAAAAATTAACTCCTGTATCTACGAACAGATAAATTCACCGTGGAATATTTATTGTCTTAATATCAGCTAACTATCACTACGTTTTGCTTGATACATCACCGAGATTCTCGACTAAATGCACCGTCATTCAACGAGTTAATGTCAGCATGTTATGACAGATACACGAGGACGGCTCTATAAATCTAACCGATAGATATCTCACGGCATTTTTACCGTGCCGTACTATTCCCGCTCTATCGCTCCCGCAGCGCGACTGTTGTTCATTTTGTTGAAACGTAAACGTCGTGATTGCGACGCGTCGAGTTGTGCACCGAGAATGTATGTCGCTCGAGAATACGAACGCAGTTCGATATTCAGAAAACATCGTCGTCGTCGTTGTCCACATCCTTACCGTGCCCGGCATCGCAGGAGAAAGTAAATAAGTTGTCCGTATTATCTATGAGTGCCGGAATCGATCCATGTCGATCCATGTCGATGTCTCGATCTCGCAGGTCAAATAGGTAATCAATTTCTGTGCGCACCAAATAGGTCGACTTGTCGAGTTTATAAATTATAATGTTCGAGAGGAAGCTGCGATAGAAAGAGAGAGGGAGAGAGAGAGAGAGAGAGATTTTTGTTCTCTCTCTCTCTCTCTCTCTCTCTCTTTCTTTCTCTATCGCGGCTTCCTCTCGAACATTATAATTCATTAACTTGATAAGGGGGATCCTTTTCTCTCTTTGTCTTTCTTTCTTCTCAATAGGTGCGTAACGGCTCCAAGTCGGCTTTAGTCGATATAACGTTGAAATGATGTTAGCAAAAGGAGAAGAGTGAGAGAGAGAGAGAGAGAGAGAGAGAGAGAGAGAGAGAGAGAGAGAGAGAGAGAGATAGGAGAGAGGAAGAAAGGAAAAAACAATAGACTTACACATCAAACATGCGTTCTTTCTTCGTTTCCTTCTCGGCCTGATATTAACGAATATATTAAGTATAGGTTTTATATAGATAACATTAAAACAAGTCTTTTTTTTTCAACGTATATCTTGACACTTAGGTAAGACGTTAAAATTGTCTTCCTTTTACCCTTCGCACGATGATATATTATCTTTCTTTCTTTTCATCTAATCGCTTGTATTTTTATCGAAAATACATACTGTCGACTGACCTCGAGTATTGTTACTTCAGAAAAGTTTAATCTTCCTCATTCAAGATTTAAGTACTTTATTATATTTTTATACAAAATATTATACACTATATGTTTTTGTATTATGGACTACAGCTGATTGTAAACGCGATGTTTCGTTCGATTGCATTATGAATAGATTAATCACAAACAATTCCAATTTTTCTATCAGATATATGTAGAAAATAAAACATGTTTCAATTTTAAATGAAAAATGTATTTATCTGAATTTTATTTATTTGTAATATTTATAATAAACTTGTGCATACAGATTTTAATTTTTAATTTAATACATTGCTAGATAAGAGAATAAATTATTTTATTACTTTAACACATGCATATTGTCAAAGTCACATTAAAAAAAAAATGACAAATAGATTTCATGAAAATATATATTATATTTTTATATATTATATTTTTGTATCTTTTCTCACATTTATAACATATATACACACATACATACATTATATAGATTCTTATTGAATTATTTATTCGATTAACAAAGTATGATCTTCCGAATACGTATCTAATAAATTACATGGAATTCACAAATGTAGGATGATCCGAACTGTTTTCGCTGTCATAATCCGGGATCTAGTATATTCGCCGAATTTACAGTTGCGTCTAATTAAAATTTTGCGAATTTATTGAAACGCGTAGTTTCCGAAAGACAGTTACGATTCAGTTCGTCAAGTACCAACGGTAGCACGTACGCGTCGTTAGAGAACATCATTTAGAGATGCCTAAGTGCTGCGAGCATTTCTAACCATCCGATGTTGCTATCTCGAACACTTATCTCGATTCCAGTAACGGTTTACGAACGTATTATTAATTTATTTAATGAGAATAGCTCAGGCTTCGTTTATTTTCCTCGTCGGGTCGGCATCTATAGTGCAAAGCGTATATAATTATCGTGAGCTGCCGTAACCTTTTGCCGTGTGAATTGCGAAACCGTTTCACTCATCAGACGAACAACCATTATCGGTCTCTTTATCGCCGTTTAATTATTCACTCCTATCGGGTAATTCGATAATTGTAACAGGTATAAGCGAATTAGTAAGATTTAGGATTGAATAAATTATGATTGATCTCATTGTCATACGACACGCGTATTTTAAATTATTACGTGACACTATCGCGACAAAATGGACAAAATAGAGATATTTTCTCCTTTGCCCCCATTTCGGAAACTCTGAGAAATAGAATTCCAGCAAAGACTAATTTTGAGTATTCAACAATGAATTACATCTATGAGTGCGAGTTATCAAGATAACAATTGCGAATGCCATATGCTCAGAGATGTGCTCTGCTTCTCTTCGTGCAACAATGCACTCGAGTTTCTCATGAAATTCCCATCTCAGACCTTAAAGTAGATAGTGCTCAGGAAAATAACACTAGATAATTTGTCAACGTGTTAAGGTAACGTTATCGCAGATGCAACTTGCAAGCACAGTGCACAGCCGAACGAAATATTGTGCGGTTTATCCCTCGATTAATAATTGCAGATCGGCTCGATAAATTGTGTTATTCAAAATAATGTTCGCCCGCACGTAATTTGTATATGTATCGTTCGCAATTATTCATACCATTTGGAGTCTCTCGATTATGCAGCAACCTGAATCACGCGTGACCATGACACAGGAAGCA